ATAAAATATGGCTGGTCTTACATCTGTCCTATAGAACTTCCCCTTAAGCTCATTCGTTATAACATAGGTTCAGGATTCATGAAAAGATTTGGTAAAGTTTTATACTGGATGTCTACTAACACAACCCTTCTCCTTTACCCAGGGTAGGGACAAGCATGACCGGCTTCGGTCCAGCCAAGGCGGAGTTGGTTTCCACACAATATTTTCAGAAAATCTGCAGCACCTAGAGTATAGAAGTTGATTACACATGCAATCTTTAAAAAAGTCAAAGATACAATTTAACTTAAACCTACCAATCATAACAAGCAACAGCTAACCCTTGCAACACCAAGCCCTAGAAGCAGCAGTGCTCCTATAGAATCAAGAATATACATAATTATTCATTATTTCAAATATGTATTAAAGAAGTGCAGAAGAGCAAAGTATGTAGGAATGATGAAAGCTCATGGTTAACAAGAGGAATTGCTACAGTCCTTTTTAAACTGTGCACAAGTGATGAGCCAATATTCTTTTCTGCAAATGGATGCAGTAGTGTCTGTCAGGAACTACAAGAATCAAGTACTTGATTAACGTATAAAACAATACTTACCCATCAAGAAAAGCATATGAAAACAATACTAAGGACAATATATCACAAATAACACTGCAGTACCCAGAACTGAAATATCGTAGTTCATTCACATACCTTAGAAGCATACAGCTTGTCAGGAAATAATGTGGAATTTCGTGCCATCAATAATGGAATCAACGCACATATCAATGCTACAAGGCCATAAAAAATCAAGGATTTTGTAGATAATGCACCTTTTAGAGAAAGAAAGTGATACTTTAAACCTCAAAAATACAAAGGAATCAACATACAGTCGTTGACCTCCCGCAGAGCTATGGTGAAATATATATCAAGAAATCGTGGTGCCATTTGGAGCGCTTGTCGTAGCCTATCAGATTGAGGTGTACCAGTAACAGCCTGCAAAGCTGCAGCCATCCCAGATGATACCCAGTGGCGTTCCTGAGATAAACAAGTGAGGAACGAAATGATCTATGAGGCACATGAAACTGAAACAATCTGAGAACGTAGGAACACCACAAAATTGTAAATATAATACATGAAACAAAGATATATGATCATCATGTTTCCATTTTCAACAAAATTATGAGTATCAGGTTTTGTCACTCCTATGAGTCCCATGACATTAGAATAGTATGAGAATGTCAAAAATCAATTGTTCTTACCCCAGAACATCATAGCCAAGACAACATTTCGCCCGACAACAAGAACTTCCCTATTTCATGTTGCATTACAAACATGTGATTCTTAACCTTAACTAATCATCCAAACTTCCTTGAAATATTTTTACAATCACCATGAACACCAAAATATTAACTCATTTGTAGAATATAGAGCTAGCATATCCTATATATATCATTAGTGAACTTCTATGCATTCAATAACTATAATGACTATATTACTATTGGTAACTATCTATAAGCATTTGCATAAACAAGTCCTACTATTGGAAACTGTCTATAAACATTGCATAAATAAGTTCTACAATTGGGTCTCAAAGTAACTGAAATCATAATCCATAGATATTTGAGACGAGGTTTCACACTAGTTTGGCTGGAGATTTCATGGAGGTCGAAGCAAGATTCCATATTGAACGAATCACACTTCCCTATTCCTATGAATCGATGTTCTATATGTTGCAGAATCATTATTCAAAACCCAAACAAAATGAGAGTCCTTACATGTACAATCATGTATCAATCGACGTGGTATCAAGATTTAATCTTTGCTGGAATCCAGATTCGATATATTAGGGAACGTCTACCCACAAATAATGGGTTCAAGTTTCTAAAGATGCGTTGAAACGAGATTCTGAAATTAAGGAATAGAGATTCCTTGGTTCCGAGAAACGGTTTCCGTAAAAATTCCTCAACAGAAACGTAGAATCGGGTTTCAAAACCAGAATGACAGGGTGAGCGAAGAGATTCCAGTAACTATGGACGAAACCCAAAGACATGTTCCAAACTCACTTATATCAAAATTTTAAAACCCATGCTCAACTCTTCAGTATAAATATAGTTCATATCAATCAGCAGATGCATATGCCAGGACTCAAAATTGGCAAGCAAAGCAACGATAATATATACAATTCACTAATTAAAATGAGCATGGCAAGAAGGGATTCAATTTGGGCGAGTTTGCAGCAAACTACTGGCTGATCCCCAAAAGTTGGTCTACTTGCATCATAAAGCACTTATGGCAACTGATAAATCTTCTGAAGATAGACGCAAAAACATTTGAATACCAGACTGAAAAGACAGATAAATATATAATTGGAAAAGAGGCTTACAGCAAGCCCATCATTTTCATCCTTAAGAAGGTCCAGAAACACAGGATCTGCAACATCTATAGATCCACTGTCATCATCTCCAGAATCTCCTCCTCCATCTTCTATGGTTGAACCAGTATAAGCTTCATCCATAAGTGCAAGAAGCATCTGCAATAGAAGAAAGCTGCACATAATCATGAAGATGGCAGATTCAATGTATCCAAAATATAATACATGTCTAGAGTTCTAAAGACGACCTCAGGAGCTGCACTCTTCTGGATTGAAGCAATGTTACTCCCTATCAGCGATCCTGAACTGCGTTCAACCTTTTCCAATGCCACCACAAGAACTAAGAGCACATGGGAAATGAACATTCCTCAGAGTGCTATTGCATCATATCGAAAGGTGAACAATATATGCTATTATGTTAAAGCTGCACCCATATAATGACAAGCAAGAGCTGCTCCATCCTAACATATATAGAAAGCCTTTTAAACAATTTGTCGATGTCTATTTTGTAAGTGTGCATACAGAAGCATTGCATCTGTGCGCCCACAAAGGAATCACGGCACTTTTTTCCTTTCAGGTCATTAAGCTGAGATCAGCCCAGTTCTCTACCCATATATTAGTTGGACCAACATAGTGAGGAATGAGAAGCAAAGCCCATTAGTACAAATATTCCATTTCCCCCATGGAGAGAGAGAGCATGTGTAGGAATCAAGGCGATAAATACTGAGCAAGTTTGGAAAAAATTTGCACTTGCTACCATGTACATGCACATCAAAAGCATGTCTGTTAGATCCCACAATGACGAACTTTTAAGAGAGAAAAAGAAGCCACCAAAAGAAAGAGAGAAGGAACTCACTTGGTAAATCCACAAGTGATTGAAAAAGAGGAAGAAATGACCCTGTGGCCACCATTCCTACAAAAATCTTTATGAAGGATTTCTCTAACCTGAAATTCAAAACAAATATAAACTGGTAATTCAACTCCAAATAACCTATCCATTTCAGCTGCAGTATTCCTCATCAATACTATTGCCAAAAACATTTCTAATAAAGGTCTTCAATATAAGAAATCATACTAAAAAATCGGATGTGTTCCACACTAAGAGAACATTAATTCACAGAAAGGAAATTGCGAATGACACATATGGAGAACTCCTGGCTTACAAGGAGAACAATATATACAGTACAACAGAACAAAAGGGATGTGTCATATTTCAGCTTAACATGTGCATGTGTCATATTTCCGCTTAACATGTGCTCTACATATCAAGCAAAATTAATCTGGTATCGAGAACCCATACATGTAGAGAAGGAATGCACAAATTGGACCCAGATCACAGCCCACTCAGGTACATACGTTGAAAGCAACGTGAAATTTGACACCAATGAAAATCAGAAGCCAAATTCCAACTTCCTAACATCAATTCTACTTAATAATAGAGGCATGTCAAGTTTGCTTGTATGACTGAAACAATACAGAAAACTCGATTAACAAAGAAACTTTGGTACATAATTACATTCGAAATGCATGGTTTGGAAGGTTCGTGCATGTAAGGATGTACGAATACATGGAATCAGTTCACTCCCCATTCAGGGGTATAGGTTGTAAGACGTGCTATTTGGCACCAGTAATAAAGTGCTTTGAGGAGACCAATGAAGAAGCCAACTTGCAAGTTCCTAATATCAATGCTACTAAATAAAAATAAGGGAAATTCGCAAAAAATTACTGTTTTTTTTTTTGGAACTAAAAAAATAGTCCCATGTATTTCATATTTTACACTCAAGTCCCACTTTTTAAAGTATGTAGTTTATCTTAAAACAATCTTGTTTTTTATGTTAGACTAAGATCAAATTTGGTAAGTTGATAATTCTCACCAGCACACACCTGTCAAACTATTTAAAAAATAAGTTAAAATAAATAGAATTACCAAAGCACCCTTGAATATTGTCGAGGTTTGAACTGGCCTGGCTCCAAGAAGTTGCTCTAGCCTCACTAATTCCGGTATGATGGAACTCTTTCTCAAACTTAGTCTCAGGAAGAGCAAGTTTCAGGCTACAAAAAAAACTCCAACTTGTCAAATCCTCCCTAAAAGCTTGGAGTTCCTCCCTTCCAGGAGATATCTCACAGTCTAAGAATACTCTGTTGACAGCCACCCAGACCTTAGACGTGAAGGAGGAATAGAGGCCTCTTTCGACCTCTAAGGCAAGCCTTAGATCGAATATGAAGTTGGACTATCTCACAACCCTCAAAAAAGAAAAGTTGTACTAATACCAAAGGTCCCGAATTAATTGGCGTTAAATCAGGAGACCAGAATACAGCCTTCTTTCACAGGATAGCTAACTATCGCAGACGAGATAACTCCATCTCCATGATTAAGGAGGACAACCTGATCTTGGACTCGGACCCAAAAATTGAATGCTCCATCCTTAAGTACTTCCAGAGCCTCTATTCGGCCACGTCGTATTCTCGACCAAGAATGGGTAACAGTGATTCAAAAAGCGGACTGCCCAACGCCTAGGCGGCCGCCTAGGCAGTCCAAAAGGATCTGAGCGCATCGCCCAGGCCTAGGCGGGTGCCCCAGAGCCCAGCCTAGGGCGGCCGCCCAAGGCCTGCGCCCTGCTCAGAGGCGAAAATGGGTTTCGATGGGGACATTTTTTGTCCATTTGTTTGACACTAAAGAGCCAAAAAATGGGGTTTTAGGTTCATTTGAAACCTAAAACTTATTGGAGCCCATTTTAGAGAGAAAAAGCCCCGAAAAAACTAGTTTTTTGTGAATTCTTTAGGATTTAAGGGTTTCTTAAAGTTAACAAAAATTGATCAAAACATCACCTATTGATATTAGATTTAAATTTTGATGTTTTACAAATCTATTGGGGATTTTTTAAAAGATTTTGAGTCTTTTAAAGCATCTTTGAGGTGGAAGTTTGAAGATTGAGCAATCAAACTCAAAGTGATTTTTTTTATTGCTTTAGTAAATTGCATTATTTTTTCGATGTCTTCTTCGAGATCTAATAGGAGTGGTGATCCCGGTTGGAAATATGGCTACAACCCAAATCCTAATGATAAAATTTGCATAAGATGCAAGTTTTGTGATAAGGATACAAAAGGGGGCATAAACCGGTTCAAGAAACATCTTGTCGGTATCAGGGGGGATGTTGTCCCATGTAAAAGGACTTCTGATGCTGTTAAAGAGGAAATAAACAATTTTTTGAGTATGATAAAAATGAAAAAAGATGAGAGATTTGCCTCTATAGCAGAGATTAGGTTTAGGGTTCAGGTCAATTATGATAATGATGAGAGTGATGAGGAAAAGATTGGGAAGGGATGTCAAGAGGTTGAACAATCCATTATTAGGGGAAAGGGAAAGGGAGTTGTAATTGCTTCTGGTTCTGGTTCTGAGACTAAGAAGCCTCGAGTTAGAGGCCCTATGGATAGTTTTTTCTACCTTGACCTGACCCTGAGGTTGCAGGAGAGAAAACAAAGAAGCAAACTACCATTGAAAATAGAATCAAGAAGGAAGAGAGAGATAGAGCTGTTTATTATCTTGCTACATGGTTTTATGAGGTGGGCATTCCTTTAATATCGCTCGCTTAAGCAGCTTCTATACGACGGTAGAGGCAATTGGCCAATTTGGCCCTGGGATGAAATCCCCAACCCCATAGGAGCTTTCAGAACCTTTTTTAAAAAAGGCGGTGAGTGTCACGAAGGAAGCTATAGAAGTTAAGAAGGATGCATGGGCTCAGTATAGGGTTTCTATTATGACTGATGCTTGGAGTGATAGGAAGGGAAGATGTCAAATGAATTTTCTTGTGAATTGCCCTTTAAGGACTACTTTTTTTAGGTTTATTGATGTCTCTGATCATATCCATGATGCCCATTACATATTTCAAGCTATAGAGAAGGGAATCAAGGAGGTTGGGGAGTATCTTGTTGTATAGGTTGTAACAGACAATGCTGCTCCTAATGTTGTTGCAGCTAATTTATTGCACATAGCTTATTCTAGAATCTTTTGGACACCATGTGCAGCACATTGTATAGACCTCATGCTCGAGGCTCTTGGCAGTTTAACCGAGATATCAAGTGCAGTGATGAAGGCCAAGTTAGTTACAAATTTCATCTATAGCCACCATCTCACCCTCAGCATGATGTGTAGCTTTACAAAGAAGAAAGAGATTGTGAGGCTTGGGTTCACGAGATTTGCAACCTGGTACTTATGCCTAAATAGCATACATTCGAGGAGAGTGCAGTTGAGGCAAGTGTTTACCTCGGATGATTTGCAGGTGGTCTAAGGATCAGGTTGGGAAGAAGGTGAGAGATATTATCCTTTCTAAGGCTTTTAAGCGAGGGGTAAAGGGCGCTCTTAAGGTATTTTTTCCTCTTATCAAAGTCCTTCGTATGGTTGATAGTAACAAGCCTTCTATAGGCTACATATATGAGGCTACAGAGAAATGCAAAAGAGAGATAGCCCAAAATTTCAATGATGACGAAACCCGCTACAAGCCTGTTTGGGGGATTATTAATGAGAAGTAGGACAGGCAGCTACATCGGCCATTGCATGCAACTGGTTATTATTCGAACCTAGCTTTTTTTTTATGTTGACAAGGATATAAGCACAAATGACACAATTATGAATGGATTTAATAACTGTGTAGATATGCTAGTCCTTGATCCTGATATGCAGGATATTATATGCGCTAATGAGCTGATAAATTACATGTGGTCATTAAAGTCTTTTGGGAGTCCAATGGCGATGAGGCAAAGGACCAAAATTGATCCAAGTATTGATAATATTCTTAAGTTCATCAAGTTCAAGTAATCAAGTAATCCTATTATTTATTTATAATTTTTTTTGATATCTTTGCAGCCCATTGGTGGAGCCAACATGGGTGTGGTTCTCCAAATTTACAAACGTTGGCCATTCAGATCTTAAACCTAACTACTTCTTCATCCGGTTGTGAGCGCAATTGGAGTACTTTTGAAGGGGTAAGGTCGTGGGTAATTTGTATAATTTTATAAATAATACATGAACCATAGATATTAGATTTTAATTAGTTTCATTTGATTTTGCTAGATTCCTACAAAGAAAAGGAACAAGCTTGAATCAAAGAGGTTCAATGACATAGTCTACGTCAAGTACAATCGATTCTTGAATGACAGGTTTGCTAAGAGAGATGAGAGACCCCATCAGATCAAAAAATATGGACAATGCTATGGAGTGGTCAGTTGATGAGGATGAGATCAAGGGGTATGAAGGATTGACATGGGACATGGATGCTTCAGGGACATCAGCTGACCCTCCAAAAGCCACTAGATCTTCTGCAAAGAGAATAAGAGTGGAAGAAGAGGAGGAAGAAGAGGCAGATTCAAAAGAGACGGAGGAAGACGAGGACGACCAATATGTCGAGGAGGGTGACAACTCCGATGAATATGATGCCAATGCAGCGGACCCAAAATTTTTTGATGATGAATGAAAGATGAATGATGAATAATTACTAAACTTTGAACATTGATTGAAGTATTGAACCATTGAAGATTCTTTTGAGTCTTCAAGTATTACTTTCATAGTTTCATAATTCAATTTGGTTTTCTTCCTCATGGTGGTTTACTGCAGTACTGGTTTGATACTATTAGGTAACTTGGTTTGATAATTTGGTTGGTTGGTAAATTTTAAGTTTTAATTGGATATGGCGTATGAACCGACTTATGGATTATGGTTATGCTTATGGAGTGCGTGCTAAATGCTAATATGTAGTATAATTTGAATTATGATGTGCCCAATATACCTAATTTTTATTTTTATACAATATATATAACTGACATAACTGCATAATCCTTTTTTGGATTCAACTAGGCCGCCCAAGTTCTGGGTGACCGCCTAGGCGCTGAGCGGCCTGGATACCCCAGGCCGCCTAGGACCCACCTAGCGCTTTTTGAAACACTGATAG